TTAATATAATTTAACGAAATCGCACAAAAAAAATTATTTAAATTTTTTTTTAATGACAAATTTTTTAATAGAATGCGTCATACGAAAAAATTTTATGATATTTTTTATGCACTATATTAATTTAAATTCATCATAGATTACTAAAATATTTTATATATACTTAATCCTAAAATTGAATTAAAAAATTATTTTAAATGACCTAAATGACTTCAAATGATATAAATGACCTTCAAATGATAATATTACGCAAGGTCATTTGTCATTTGTAAAATGACTTATTTTAAATGACCAAAATGACGTGGTCATTCAAAAGTCATTTGAGGGTCATTTTAAAATAGTCAAATGATCTGGTCATTTGCCATCACTGCCTTGGAAAACTTGTTTTAGCAAACAAATTTTCTACATGTGCTGAATTGGCAAATATTTTAAACAAGAAGTATACCAACCTTAATATAAGTAAAAGAATTGTACTTAATAAACTTCACAGTCTTAATTATATTAGTACAGTTCCAAAATCTATACCTCTGCTCACTGCTCTTCATAAACAATGTCGTATTGAATTCGTCATGAAGTATCAAAACCAAAATTAGAAGCAGATCATTTTTTCAGATAAAATTACACTCCAGATGTTTCAAAATACTCAAAAAGTATTTTATAAAGCTGACACATAACCTTTACAAACACCTATAGTCAAATATCCATACAAAATTCATGCATGAGACGCTTTTTCAGTAAAAGGACGAATTGGATTTTTTCTTTTTACTGGAATCATAAATGGTGTATTTTATTGTATAATTCTTATTAAAAATCTTTTTGATAATGCAAATTCAATCATGAAAAGACACTGGGTATTCTAACAGGACAATGATCTAAAGTATTCAGCTAAAAAACTAAGAAACTTCATTCAGAACGTTGTCTAAGGCAGTTGGATTGGCTTTTAAACAGTTTAGATCTCAATCCTATTAAGAACTTATGACAAATTTTGAAGACACATATAGAGAAACAGATTAACAAACTGGTAGTGAAAAAAAATCAATTACTATAGATGTTTTTTTTGATAAAATTTAAAATGAGTGGGAGAGAATTGAATCAGAAATTTTTACTAATTTAATTAAAAGTATGCCATTAATATTAGAGCAAATAATTAAGGGTAATGGTAATAAGATAAACTATTGATTAAGCTTAGACAAACTTTTCGCAGAATAATAAAAAATATATATTTAAATTTTCATGTATTTTTTGTTCGTTTTCATTATACAATAAATAAAAACATTATTATAATTATTTTTTTCGCGCACTATAACTTTAAATTATTATGTAAAAAATTTAGATTTTTCATATTGTAACAAGTAAAATTTAGCTAAAAATAATTAGTAGATTAAGAAGTTAATTTTATTGCTATATAGATCATTAAAAAGATCATTTTATCTATTTTATTGCTATTAATTATTATATATATCCTTAAATGTTAACTTTATTACCTTTGATAATTATGTAGATTATAAATGTCTACTTAGTTACATATAGATCTGATAATTTTATTTATATAGCAACTTTATTTTCATTAAATATTTTTAGTTTAATTTATTTTATTAATTATCTAACTTATATAAATATCTTTGTATTTTTATTAAATCTTATTACCTTTTTGATAAAGATAAACTAATAAGATATTAATCTTTTAGATACTGAACTTTTATTATATTAATAATTAATCAAATATAAAACTTATCTTTTATAATCAACTAAAATTATTTATAATTAATTTGTGAATCCTTTGCATTTATTATAATCTCTTTTAATTATTGTTAATAAACTTATTATATAATATTATATTAATTTACTATATTAATTTAAAGTCTCTGCTTTAAAATATTTTATATTATTTTGTATTTATTTTTTGTATTTATATTACTTAGTTTTATATTAAAAATAATTTTTGATATTATAGTTAATCTTTACCTATGATTTCTCAAATAATTGTCTTAGTTTATTTACCCTTTTATAATTTATTAAAGTTATAAAACTATCATAATAATATATATTTTAGAAAACTATATATAATACCAATATAATAAGATTTTTTATTAATTGTAAAATGAAAACTTAGAAATTTTATTATATATGCTAATTATCAATATATATAATATCAGTATATTAAGGTTTAATTATATTTTTCTTGTATTTTAAACATCTGTTTTTTCTTTTTTATTAGTAATCTATTTAATATTATAAATGATAATACATTATATATGTTAAATAAAAATGTAAAAATTAACTTATTATTTATTTTTTTAAATTGCTTGATTATTTAACTAATTTGTTAATATATAAATTATTATTATTAAACTAAATTTATTATAATATATAAATATTATTTCAATTTTTTTAAACTTTATATACTATAAAAAAGTTATTCTGTAAATTTTAAATTTTATAAATAATATTATGAAGTGTGATAATTTTATATCTGTTAATTATTATTTTATCTAATATAAGAGTTGTTAAAGAAATATATTCAATTGTGATTTTATATAATTTTAAAATTTCTGATATTTTTCTAATACATTATTTAATTAATTTTATACTTAAATATTAGATATATTATATTTTATTATAATAAAATTTTAAAAGTACAAATTATTTATCTTACTTTTTAAACATTTATTTGATTAATTTTTTTATTTTTAATTGTTTTATTTTCATTTTTAAATAATTTTTTATAAATTATATGATATTTTAATTTTTAATAAATCTTTAAAAAATTTACTTTCTTTTATACTTATATATTTTTACTTTTACCTTTATATTATCATCTCATAATTTATAAGTTTAATAAAGAACATTAAAATAAAATTTAAAGAAATTAGTATTTTTTCAAATATATTTAAGAATAAAGAATGATTTTTGTATTTATAATAAATAAAAATAAAAATAGATTTACTTTTTTGTTTTATGAATATTTTTGACTTATAATAATTATTAGTACTACTTAATAAGTAAATCTTATTTAATGATTATACTTTTATTATTTATTATAAATAAATTCTAAACTAGTAAATTTTAATTTAATATAATATAATAAATCTAAAAAAACTAATATTATTTTATTTATAATATTAAAAGCTATTTTTATATTATTTTAAATAAAAAAAAAAGTAAATATTTTTTTTTTTAAAAAAAAAAAGATATAATAATTAAAAAAACTACAGTAACTTAAAAATAATTTTTTATTATAATATTTAAACTTTAATTTCTTGTCAAATTTATTAAATATTAAATTTTTATAGAAAGTTGTA